TACCCCCATTTGAATGGGGAAGAACTCAGACTGGGTGCCACTGAGGACACTGCCGTTCGTGCCATCGTGGAGTTGCCTCACAATGGCAATGAATTTTGGTGGGCAGCCAAAACGGCTGAGGGTCCGCCAGAGGGCTTCACTATTAACCGAGCCGAAGGCCTTGGTTAGGTCGGTGAAGGCCATATGTAGGTCACGACACTGTTCTGTGTACTTTTCATGCATCTGGTGGGAAGCAAATATCATGTCAGGGGTGCCACGTGATAGTCTAAAGCCACATTGAAATTCTGGGGGAAAGTTTTCCGCCTCAGGCAGAAGTCTGCTTAGTTGGACTCGGGCGATAATTATCTTGCCAGCTACTGAGAGCAGCGATGTCCCGCGGTAGTTGCCACAGTCTGACTGGTCTCCCTTGTTCTTATAAATAATGATGATTTAGTCGTCTTTAAGACCTTGGTGGATTTCCTCCTTTTTCCATATATATTCTCTGGGAGATAGTGGAGATGGCTGGTAAACAGAGGGCCTCCTGCTTTAAACACCTATGGGATTTCATCAGGCCCTGAGGCTTTTTAATTTTCATCTGTTTGATGGCAGTAGTAGGTAGTAGGCAGCTACCAAACAGGGAGGTACTACCGCCTGGGAAGATATTGGAAGCATGATGTGTTGTCTAATGGTAGACCTTGCTGCTATATGGCATCACAAAAATTGTGACCAAGTCCCAGGTTGCTGATCTATCTTTCTGCCTCATTTACACACAATTGCAGGGTCTCAACTGTCTTTCTTACTATTGACAACACCACAAATAAAATCATACTCATTCTTTATCTGCTTCATTCATTCTATTTTATTCTACTATGTCAGTTGATATTAATACTGAAGCGGGGCCTTCTCGGATGGGTTCCACTGGCCGGGAAGGTTGTGGGCCCCAGGGCCGACCTGATCATCATCAAGCTACTGGGGCCTCAACTGACGCCACCGCGGTTGCTGGAGGATCGGCTTTTTTCACACTTCATTTTTACAACATTCGCGGACTGAGATCCAATTTTTCTTCTGTGGAGCACCATCTATCAACCTCTTCCCCCGACCTCTTACTACTCTCCGAACTTCAACTAACCAAAGCAGCTTCACCCAAACCTTTTCAAGTCTCAAACTGCACCCTTTATACCTACTTCTGTTCTAAGGGAGGTGTATGCGCCTACTGCAACACACCTACACCTATAGCCCGACGCACGGATCTTGAATCTTCCCTTTATGATGTCATCTGGCTCAAAATATCTCTACCTACTGTGACTATTTTTCTTTGTTTCCTATACTGTTTTTGGTCTCCCAACTCTACCAACTATTTCGAACTCTTTGACTATCTCACTTCTTGCCATGAGTCGTTGCTATCCACACACCCCAACACCGAGATCCTCCACCGAGGGGGTTTCAATGTACATCACAGAGTGGCTTGGCTCTGCAAGGGATGACCCAGGTGGAGCTGAGGCACTCTCTTTTTCCTTACTTAATGATTTGGAAAAAATAATCAAACACCCTACAAGCGTTCCTCATCGACACGATCAACTTGCTAACATTCTTGATCTTTGTTTTACCTCTAACCCCTCACACTATTCATACTCAATTTTTGCCCCCTTAGGGTCGTCTGATCACAACCTTATTTCTATTAAATCAAACTGGGCACGACCACCTCCCCCACCCCCCTCTAAACGTCAACTATGGCACTATCGGAGGGCAAGCTGGCAATCCTTGCGAGAATTCTTCACCGACTTTCCTTGGGATGAATGTCGTTTTTCCACTCGGGATACCTCGGTATGTGCTGACAGCATTGCTGGGGTTATAGGGGCGGTATGAGTGCATTTAACCCATCTTCTAACAAAACTTTCACATAACAATCATGGTTTGATCGCTCCTGCTCTCTTGCATACAGGGAGAGAGATAGGGCATATCGAGCTATGAAACTATCTCCTTCTATTAAAAGAAAGACCGCTGTCCTGACTAATTCTTCCTCTAGCAAATCCTTCTGGTCCTTAACTAAAAACATATGTAACAACTTCTGCACGCCTTCTTTTCCACCCCTCTTCCGTCCCAATAACTCTATAGCCAACTCTCACCCTGACAAAGCCAACCTCTTTGGCACCTTATTCTCCTCTAATTCCACCTTAGACGATTCCCACTCTATCCCTCCTACCCCTGCACCTCCTACTGAACCTATGCACTTTCCTATAATCTCCACTCGCAGGGTTGCCGGTGTGTTATCCAGGTTGGATGTGAGTAAGGCGCATGGACCGGACGGAATACCCCCTCGTGTTCTGAGGGAGTGTGCTGAAGCCCTGGCCCCTGTGCTTGCTCGCCTCTTTCGCCTTTGCCTCAAAACCAAAACTTTTCCTTCTTCTTGGAAGCATGCCTTGGTTCAGCCCATCCCGAAGAAGGGTGACCATTCTAATCCCTCTAACTATCGCCCCATTGCCCTAACTTCATCCCTCTCTAAGATTTTCGAAACTATCTTGAACTCCCATTTTCTCCGTCACCTTGAACGCCTTTCTCTTTTGTCGGATCACCAGTATGGCTTTCGCCAGGCGAGATCTACTGGTGATCTGCTCTCTTATTGCACCCATCTTTGGTCATCCTCTCTTAGGGATTATGGGGAAACTTTTGTCGTGGCCCTCGACATCTCCAAAGCATTTGACAGGGTATGGCACAAGTCTTTGCTATCTAAACTTCCCTCTTTTGGTTTCTCTCCCCCACTTTGTTTTCTCATCTCTAGCTTCCTTGAGAACCGATCCATGGCAGTTGTTGTCGAGGGATCGATTTCTCGCTCTTTCTCTCCCAGTAGTGGCGTCCACAGGGTTCTGTTATTTCACCAACTCTCTTCCTTCTTTTTATCAATGATTTACTTCACACCACAACTAATTCTATCCATTCTTACGCTGATGATTCTACTCTTCACTCTTCCTCACATTTTCCCCTTCCTCCTAACTCTCAAACTAGATCTGTTTCTAGAACTGATATAATTACTTCTATCAACGCGGATCTGTGCAGCATCTCTGAATGGGGAGGTACAAACTTGGTTAAGTTCAATAGTAATAAAACTCAATATTTACCAATTACACTTTGTAAATTAGACGATCTGCCGCTAATTACATTTCAGGACGCTATCATCCTGCCAAATTCCGAAATAAATATGTTAGGCCTCACCATTCCCTCCAATATGACCTGGAAATCCCACATCCTTAGTATAACTAAAGCTGCCTCCCGAAAGTTGGGGATATTGTACAGATGCCGCAGCTACTTCACTCCTGAGCAGTTGCTCCAAGTATATAAGGGATTCATTCGTCCTAACTTGGAGTACTGCTCTCATATCTGGGGTGGCTCTTCTTCTGTCCAACTATTAGATAGGGTGGAATCAAAGGCATTTCGTCTTATTAACTCTCCTCCTTTAGTCGACAATCTCTCTTCCCTTTCTCTAAACCGCAATGTTGCTTCACTCTCTCTCTTTTACAGGTATTTTAACGGGCAATGTTCGGTGAATTTGGCATCCTGTGTACCGCCGGCAAGGCCGAGGGTTCGTGATACACGTCTTGCCCGCGGTGCCCACCGTTTCTCTGTGGATTTCAGTCATACGAGAATAACCCGTTATAGTACCTCCTTCTTTCCTCACACAGCCACACTGTGGAATGCTCTGCCTTCTTCTGTGTTTCCATGCTCTTACAATCTGTCTCACTTTAAAAAGCTGGTTTTCCGGCATCTTCGTGGTGTAGATTAATACAATATAACCTTTTTTTTCTATATTTACAATTTCTTTCCGTTCTTTTTATTTTTTTCTCCCCCCAGGCTCCGTTGTGGGTCGTTTGACCTGTTCCCCGGGTGGACTAATTTCCGGTATAAAAAAAAAAAATACTCATCCAGGGATGGAGGATAGCTGAAATGGGTCATCTCTGGATGCTGAGGGTCCTGCTGGGTAGTCAGGATATCCACATTGGTGTTTGGGTTGAGTAGCAAGTGGTAGGGCTCCATCCAGCGCTTAAGGATGCCTTTCTCATCTTTAATTCGGGAGTTACCGCCGAATGAGCGGAGGGGGGCTGCACCATCAGTGATTGACCTTTCCTTCTTGCGGAAGGTATACGCTTTGGTCGAAGACGAAGGGTTGTTCAGTCAGTCAGGTAAAGCAACCCGAGTACATTGATTTCCGGGTCATTTTCATCAAACCAGTCCAGGCTAAAGGTCTCTCTGCAGGTTTTTGTCACGATAGTGTCGAGAGTACCCCATTCGGCACTGAGATTTAGGTTGTTTTTTGTCGGGTTGTTTGCGCTGCTCTCTGAAACCATGTGCCTACCCCTGGATCCTCCATATGTTTAGTGTTAAACCTTCATCTTGAAGCTTGATGCCATCGCCGTTTTGGGGCGAAGAGAGTTTGGCTCTGACGCGCAGATGATCATTGTCACATTGGTCTGAGCCACGCCTGACTTGAGTCATGAGGACATCTCAGCGATCTCTTTCTCTGACAATGATGTAGTCAATGAGATGCCAGTGTTTGGATCTTGGGTGTTGCCACGAATCCTTGTCTGCCTGCATAAACAAGGTATTGGTGATAGTGAGGTTGTATGCAAGCACACTTGCTGAAGAGGAGTAGGCTGTTGGGATTAAACTTGCTTAATCCCTCTCTCCCTATGTTTCCCTGCCAAATGTCAGCGTCTCTGCCAACTCTTGCATTGAAGTCACATAGGAGTACAACCTTATCTTCTCTTGGGATAGAGAGTCGCACTCTTTCAAGATTGGCGTAAAAGGCCTCATTGATGTTATCCTTTGCATCCAGTTTTGGGGCATATGCACTGACGAAAAAGGCATGAGGGAGAGATTCAGTGGGGCTCTGAGTATCATGACACACGCGTTGATCCCAACATGCATTTAAGCTGGAGGATGGCAAAGCCAACTACATAAAGGCAGTTTCTCTCTGCAGCAGGCTTACCCTTCCTGAAGAAGGTATAGCCAAATCCCCATTCTGTGAGATGACCATCGACTGCGAGCCGGGACTCACCAATGGCTGCTATGTCGATGTTATACCTAGCCAGCTCTTTTTTCACAAGGGCATTTCTTCTTTCAGGAGGCTTATTTGTGCCAGTATCCAAAAAGGTCCTGACATTCCATTCAGCAACCGTAAGAGGTTGTATAGTTTGTGATTATAATTAACTGGGTACGGCTGCCCAGTCAGGTTGGTTCTTCACGCAGGCTATGATTAGGGCACCTTTTCTAGCCCTCTCCACATGTGGGGTGAGCAAGTGGCTCTTCGAAAGGGCTGCTCAGTCGCACAGATAGGACCGGATTGCAGTGCTGCCTAGATCCCAGTGCATAAACGACCATATTATCTGTGCCGCCCATGTGCAGAGTTGTGACTAGGGACTCCAGGCAGTCATCTCTGCCTATATCCATCGGTATAGGACTTTTGGGGGTATAGGGGTTTTGATGATGATGAGTAGTTTGATGAGCTGGATGATGGCAGCACGTGAGTTGATTTATGTGGTGAGGCCGAAGCACAGGCTGCAACCACACATCTTGGATCTCCCTTTTCCTAATACAGTCGTGAATGGTCATGAACTGCCCCTAAAATCGTCATTGACATATTACAATAAGCTATCATGTGCAATATTATGAGGTTTGCGTTATTAATAACATCATAAAAGCAATAGGAGAATGATTATATCCCAACCACCACCAGTCTCCACTATGACCCTCTCTACTATGAATATAGTGATTTATATAATATCTTTCCTAATGGCACTCGCATATGAGAAATCTTATAATCGATAAGTAGTGATGTTCAAAATGGAGGACCACATAGACACGCTCTAGAATGGATTGTTTACATAATTCAGTTGTCTAGCAGACACAATATGTGTTTGTGTGTTTCCTCTATTTATTTTTTATTTTTATTAAAACCGTTTTTGCAACATATAAGTTATTTCTTTGTCCCAAGACATAACATTTTATATTCCTATCATCCAACTTATATAATATGAGATGAAACGGTAATAGTTCACCACAAACATTTCATATCCTTTTTTTTTATGTGCGGTTGTTTTACATGGATAAAAGTATTACTTAAGTAGATAAACTCCAAAAAAAGTGATACAAAATTATTAAAACTCGAAAATATGGTGTGGTAGACATTGAAGATCGAAGTATTGTATTTTAGCTGCTGACTGACAGTGGCCAACTATTAGGTTGAAAGGAATACAGTATAAAATACACTCTACCATTTTATCATTGATCATCGATAAATTGTGTAGTTCATAGAGGACATGTACATAGAGACACCATATAATGGATTGTTTGTACAATCGGGGTTTCTGGCACACGCAATGTGTGCCACATAACCAGGTTAGCTAAAACTGCCTGGTACAGGACTTTTGACCAGGACTGTATAGTTCCCTTCACTAGTGCATTTACAGGGGCTCGTTAGGTTTTGTCTAGTGTGGCAGCGCTGTGTTTGTTTACATTCGACAGATGTAAACTGGCAATAGTAAACATACTATGGAATCAAATTAAAACAATATAAAAACAAATATCTCAAAGATAATCATTTATGGAATGTTTATACGATGAGCCCCTGTAAACGCACTAGTGAAGGGGACTGTATTAACTCTTCATGTTCTAACAGGTAAACAAGATCTCACGTCATCCGTATTAGGGGTGATAGAGGCAGTGTTGGCATCAGTGGCATGTTCCAATTACTCCGTTTTTTTCCTCACGGACGGCACCACTTCCGCCTCAACTGTCTACAATGTAGGTGGATTGACTAAAAGTGATGTGTAATGCGACACACTCGTATTGATATTCTTATAATTGAAAGTTACAGCAACAAATTGCCATTAACAAAGAATTCTTCTCTGTATTACAACATTTTTATTCTTCCAGTTGCAAGGTCATCTACAAGTCCCCCGAGGTATTGGGGTGTTTGAAGTAGCATCGGACGGCCAAGATAATGTCACGATAAAGATTCAATTTGCTCATGTGATGAATGTAATAAACCAGGTAAGTGTTTTATAATACTACCAAAAGTCAAGCCTTACGCTGATGCAGAGCAGTGTAGTCTCCTTCATATTATTACCGATACGAGTTGGTTACTCTTAAGTGGTAATAAAGTTTGTCACTCTTATAGTGGTAATAAAGTTATGCACTCTCACAGTTACTTAGAGTGCCAAAGTCAGAAGGTGTGTACAAACATATTTTTTCGACGTTAACAGCTGCGGGAGCTGTCATCGCACACTGTCATTGTGGTCATCAGCAACGACCCAGCCTTCCTCGCCGCCTTCAACGAATGGTTCCTCAAGACCCGCCTCTTGGTGTGGTCGACGAGACTCCTCGTCGTCACCCGACTGCCCCTCCCGAAGCTCCTCCACTTACAGAGGACATTTTCCAAGATGAATGCCATGTTGGTCATAAGTAGCGATAACGATTTAGGGAACATCAGGTACTCTCACGTGTCGTATGTGTGTGTCCGAACTGACAAATGTCATTTGTTAGTTTTTATATCACTTGTCTATGATCTGGACCTATAGATACTGCAGCTGTTACTTCTGTATGTTTATCAATCGTCTGTCTGAGGTCAGAGCGTAATTTATCACCTAACCTTGTTCAAATTCTAAGTACTTGAATTCCATCAATAGCTGGTAAACTTGTGGCTGTCTTGGTGATTAAAAAATCCATTTGTTATAGTTTGTCCTAAAGACGTTTTTCATGCATCAGTCTATCAACATTTCTCCCTACATTTATCTTCTTATTGTACCATGAGGACCTACAGTAAGATGTTTCCAATAGCTAGCCTATATTTACCAATTCCTGCATTAAAATCATAATCTCCTTTCCGTTTGTTATGGATCATATGCTTGCAAAATATGGAGTTGTCTTCGTTTCATTGATACGCCAGACTACTTTGATACAGTAAATAGTATTTGGACCAGTCACGGTTGTCACCCTTCGGTCAGCTGTTCCTCCATCGATATAGAGAATGTCAACAAAAGTCATCACTAAATTTTTTGCCATTTTCCTTATCTTTTAGTTGTCTCAGGTAGTCCTAGAATGTCAAGATTTATATTATTCTTAATGTTCAACATTTCTTTTTCTAGTATGTTCCCATATTAAAAGTTCCAATTCGTGATCGTCTAGTTTCTCAAAGTTGTTGTTCATGAAGCTATCATGTGCAAGGCCTGTCTGTAGAAGCTTGGTCCACAGTTCGTGTTGGTAATTCCGAAGCAGTCAAGAGACCTACCATCCGAAAGACGCACCTGATGTATATATATATATTTCATTAGTCCATATAGCACGCGGACTTCAACATATAATCAACAACCTCACCTGACAGGACTTGAACCCTCCACCTTATGTGTGTGACCAGGGATTGCTACCACCGAGCCACAAGGGCACCAAAAGTAATCCTAGACTTTGTTATATCTCACACAAAGCCTGTTCATCGTGCTTATGGCGCCGTGAACCTCCAATTGGGGATCGCCCGTGCCACTTACGTGGTCGGACTAGCATTTTACAGAATCCAGCTTCGAAACACGAGGTTCCATATATATTTCAATAGTCCATATAGCACACGGACCACATAGCTACTCTGACCACATAAGGGGCACAGGAAATCCCCAATTGGAGGTTCACGGCGCCATAAGCACGATGAAAAGGCTTTGTGTGAAATATAACAAAGTCTAGGATTGCTTTTGGTGTCCTTGTGGCTCGGTGGTAGCAATCCCTGGTCACACGCATGCAGTCGAGGGTTCGAGTCCTGACAGATGAGGTTGTTGATTATATATATATATATATATATATATATATATATATATATATATATATATATATATATATATATATATATATATATATATATATATATATATATATATATATATATATATATATTGTTACGAGTTGGGGATTTAGAATATAGTTATACGTCTACCCAGATCCCAACAGGTAACAACAATAAAAAAAAACAAAGACAATCGGACTATAAAAGGGTAGACAAAGGATGCGAGTTTTCGTTGTATATAATAGAGTACCATAAATCCCTTAACAAAATATTCAGCTTATAAATTACCCTTAACCAAACTTAACCTAAACATTAACAGTATATACATAATAATAAACATAAAACAATCTCGAAGCAAGTGGACGTGGGGAAATTAATACAAGATAATAGTACTTAAGTGAGGAGCTGAGATGGCTGACGAGTAAGGCTGAGTATTGTAGAAGACGGTAGGTCACTGCACGTAGGTTTAGAGGGATAGATGATCCTGTGGTCCTTTGAGTAAGTGCTCTCTCCTCGAATTGGAGCTGACAAAGACTTTGGGGTGACGCAACAACCAGGATGGGGAGAAGGAAACCTCGGGTAGTACAACTAAGGCAGAGTCATACTCGTGTCTCGTCCCTAGATGGCGTTGCTCGTGGTGCTGGGTAGGTAGATCAGGACAATGATGGCGTGCTTCGTAGTGCTGGGTGGAGGGTTCGAGTCTGACAGATGAGGGTTGTTGATTATATATATATATATATATATATATATATATATATATATATATATATATATATATATATATATATATATATATGTATATATATATATACATATATATTTCAATAGTCCATATAGCACACGGACCACATAGCTACTCTGACCACATAAGGGGCACAGGAAATCCCCAATTGGAGGTTCACGGCGCCATAAGCACGATGAAAAGGCTTTGTGTGAAATATAACAAAGTCTAGGATTGCTTTTGGTGTCCTTGTGGCTCGGTGGTAGCAATCCCTGGTCACACGCATGCGGTCGAGGGTTCGAGTCCTGACAGATGAGGTTGTTGATTATATATATATATATATATATATATATATATATATATATATATATATATATATATATATATATATATATATATATATATATATATATATATATATATATATATATATATATATATATATATATATATATATATATATATATATATATATATATATATATATATATATATATATATATATATATATATATATATATATATATATATATATATATATGCTGATAACCACAAAAAAACACGAAGTTCCCAAGCGCTATTGTGTAATTCACATCTTCAAGGATGAGTACGGACTTAGAAAAAATACTTGAAAAGGCTAATATATACAGTAGAGGAGAGTGAAATCAAGTCCCTAGGGGACAGCAAGTGTCCACAATGTTCCGGTCATAAAGCAGTGACCCTTACCTGGTTACAAATCCTGGTTACAAATCTTCTTAATCACAAAAATATCCAGTTTGTTCATACCATTACTTAAATTCATGTTGACAGATTTGGTATGTTTAATGAGACTGGATTGTATAATGTTCCTACTGACAATTGAATTACAAGGTAATATTGAGGAGACATTATCCCAGTCAATGCACTTCTTATTATCTCTCATATGAATGAACAGAGCATTATTATTCTGCCCACCATAATAGAGTCAAACAGTCAGTATTTTCATCAATGTTTTTATGCGCTCTCAGAATATGCAGTCCGGAATTCATTGATGAGGAATATTAATATATCTATAATATTGGCTTGAACCTTAAGTACCCTAGGTCTTTTATTGACAAATGCCTTAACATTACTAAGAATTTTTTTATAGAACTGATCCTAAGCCAACCAATGACAATAAGAATCTCTTTGTACTGTATTACCATTTAACAATAATTTCTCTCAAATTCCTATACAACTGAAAACCTGAAACGTTAATGTGACATTTAAAAACTCATGCACTGAAAAACAGGTAAAGATCTTATAACTAGTCTTAAACAGCATAAATATAGTGTTAGGACAGGCCAGGAATCCAAAGCTCTGTTCATTCATATGAGAGATAATAAGCATTGTATTGACTGGGATAATGCCTCCTCAATATTACCTTGTAATTCAATTGTCAGGAGGAACATTATACAATCCAGTCTCATTAAACATACCAAATCTGTCAACATGAATTTAAGTAATGGTATGAACAAACTGGATAATTTTGTGATTAAGAAGATTTGTAACCAGGTTTGAAGGTTGGGTCACATTACCCTATGACCTGACTACTGACAGCTGCTGTGCTTAGAGATAGCATGGTCAATTTTTATTTTTTTTATTAAGAAGATTAGTAAGGGTCACTGCCTTATGACCGGAACAGTGTGGACACTTGCTGTCCCCTAGGGACTTGATCTCACTCTTCTCTACTGTATATATTAGCCTTGTCAAGTATTACTCCTTAGTCTGTACTCACCCTTGAAGATGTGAATTACACGAAAGCGCTTGGAACTTCGTGTGTTTTTGTTTCCTTGTGGTTATCAGCATATATATATATATTATCCCTTCATTACTGGCCCGGGAAGCCCAAGCATTGAGAGTGGCATCCTGGACACCGAGCTGTGGCGTCATTCTCTCCTCGAATCTACCTCTCTTCCCCGAAAAGTTCAGCAAGTGAGTTCAGTAAGAGAATGTATCAGTATTTCCTATACATCAGTGATTTTTAAATGTAACTGTTTATTGGAAAATATTAGTGATTAAAATTATAAAGTCACTCTTTTTTGGTGGTATAATATTAAGAAAAAACAAAGGATTTGGGATATGCAAGAGAATAATCTTAAGATATGCAGGCTTTCAAACGTACTAACGGAACCTTTTTATTGGTATAGAAGATTAAGAAATGCAGGTGAGAGGATAAAGATTATAAGGTAAATACAAATGTATGCTGCTCTTCTGTAGCCTGGATATTATACGCAACAAATAGTGGCACCTTAAATATACACCGCTTTTCATGTCATGTCATGTCATGAACAAAATATGGGTGAAAAGAGGATATTTTTGCCTAAGGAATTAGTCATTGTTGTGTCCAAATTTCAGCTTATTTCAAAGAGTGCCTAAGATACCGCTCAGAGAAGCAACCAAGCAAGAAAGAAAACATGAGAAAAAATAAGCAACCGTTGACGGAATGGGGGAAGGGGAGCGACAGAGAAGCAGTACAAAAAAGCTATACTTAAAATTTGGTGATAAATACTATATAACTTCATAAGTGTTTTTGTAACACGTGTTTATTCCTCCTACAGATTCCCTCACAGGCCAACTCTTCTGGCGGCGTCGGAAGGGAATCCAATTAATAAGATAATTGCCATAGAGGCCTCTGAAGCTCCCGGAGAAAAGAGCATCAATTTCAAGGGGCCTATCCCGAATCTAATGGATTACCTGGCCAAGGCTCTCAATTTCTCGTAAGTTTAAGTTGATAAATATGACTAAAACATGATTTTCCTTTAGGAGGACTATATATATATATTTATATATATATATGTAACCGGTCGGAATTTTCAATTTCTTTCTCTTAATTATGTTATTGGGGTTTTCGATTTATAGTGGATGATGATGCAGTGGAA